CTAATGATCCCTCAGTCTTTGGGGGATAAGTTGGTTTACAAGGGTGCCTGCCCTTTAACAGTATTGTTTTCTGTTTTAGTAGGTGTTGGGTTTTAAATATGCTACTAGAATGGGAAGTATAGGCAAAAGCAAGAGTCCTACAGGTCTCAGCAAGAGCTCTGCAAGTGTACAGCACTTTTGCAAAGCACATTGATCTGGAGACTTGCAATGCAGACTTGCTGTAATTGTGCAACAAAATTGTAAGTCTAGCAATAGTTTAGCAAGTCATTTTCAAACTTGCAGCTTAATTGCCTGCTATCTGGGTAATGACATAACTAAATAAAACACACCATTCAACATTAGCTGTTCAGGGCATTGACATACCTTTCTTGTAATATGTACAAAACTAATATACATTCCTTTTAAAGGGTTAGTTCACTTTTGTAACAAAATACCCTATGCAGTTCACAAGGCCCAGCAGTTAACAATAAACTTGACAGCTTTTAAAATCTTTATTAATGCAGTTGTCATACCAGTAGGCCATTTGTGTCCCCACTGAAGCCTATCTGAAACACTCCCAATATTCTGTAGAGCACCATTCAGTAGTCTTGCAAGGAGGAGCCAGCTGTTGGACACGCGCCCCCAGCATAACAGGAGCGAGTGTCGTCTTTGTTCAGAGCCCGTAACTGCTGGGCCTTGTGGACTACTAAGGTGAACTAACCCTTTAAGTGAATGCACATTAAGTTATTGAAGTAGCACATAAGGCAACTCAAATAATTCAAGAGAGCAGAATGCATCTTTTGAAAATTAAGTGTATGTTTTATTCTGCTGGCTTCTTTTTGTAAGATTCATTAAATGTTATATGAAAGATGGGAAGCAGGCATTCTGTACTTGCTTGCTTGTTCCTTTATGTTAAGATTAGTAAGAAGAAGCTGCTATTATTAAACAAATCCTGGATTAGTGGCAACCCTTGACCGAGTTAGAGCCAGCAGGCACAAGCTGCTGTTATTGATTGGTCCTTACATAAAATATTTAAACCAATTTTCCCAATTAGCTGATGCCAGTGATTGAACATGCACAAAAGGGTTAACAATATAGGCTCCACCCCATCTCTTTCAATCCTGACAGATAAATGCCTAGGTTCACGACATATATGATAGCAGCAGCAGTATCATACCATGATTTCATCAGCCTACTCCTACCCCCTCCCCCCCAAAAAAGCTGATATTAACTTTAAAAAAAATAGATGAGAATGACATATGTCTTCTCTGCAGACCCCCTAAATACGCACGTCACACATCCCAAAAGGCCTTGGGGTATGCTATGGTGCATATGTTGTGGCGCATCAACCTGTCATGAAGTGCCGCTCAGCATCATCAGGGGTCAGCTGCAAGAACCCAGAAGATGATGTCAGAGAAGATGATGATGGCACTGGACCGGCTCTGCAGTGGTGGATCCCTACAGTTAATTTGCTATTAAAGGATAACTTAACCTTTCTGACAATGTTTAATGTTACACCCACATTCAGGGTGTATGAAAAATTGTCACATCACAACTCCCCCACTTACCTGAATCGCAGGGTTCTTCTCCCCTCAGGTTTGTGTTCATTTTTTTAATTTGGCGTTTGTACATGGCTCCGCCCACACAGTGGTGTCATCCATTCAGATTCTTTCATATGATCTGACTGGAGAAACTACCAGAGACTTGTAGCTCTCAATAGAAAACATGATATCACCACACTTGCAGTCCACTTGGGAGTTAATTTTAAGAAAGAGTGAAGGTCACACTATCCAGTGCATTCAGGGCACAGTCCAGTGGGATGAGCGCACTGGATCGCATACACAAACCCTCCCCGTGTCCTGGGGCGGGAAAGGGCATAGTTGTGCCATGCCTTCCAATGACACAGCAGACACGCCTCCTGCCCACAGTGCAATCGCCCGCACCGGAACGCGTGGTACTGCAATGCCCTGCATTCCAGTACAGTGCAATCGCAAATAATCGTGCATGCACCACATGCGTCTTAATTGTACAGTTCCATGGATTAATGCACGCTACTGTGTAACGCACCTACCGCGTGTTAACAGTGCGTGAGGTGTGTTCATTTGAATGGCAACCCAAATGTCCCTCCTGGTCACAATGCGCAGTACCGTGCATTGCAGTTGGAAAAAATTAGTGCATGCGATTTTTCAACTGCCCTGCACAGTATAACAGTAGCGCACGTTGTGGTGTGTTCATGCATTTTGCAGGCAGGATGTGCATTTGGAAAATGCAATGGCAAATGCAATGCAACACACCTCCTGCACTGTTAACACATGGTACGGTAGCTTGCGTTAATATCACTGAAGTACAATTAACGCACACATGCGGTGTTAACGAGTCCTAAGAGGATGAGGCGGCATCCTGAGTGAAACATTACATTCGAATTGTACCTGCTATCAGGTGTCAACGTCTCCAGGCTATGGGGACATGTTAATGTTACACACATCACCTCCATTAACATGTATTTTTTTAGTGTCAGAAGCTTTATCTGGGGAGGAAGTTCATCACGTGCTGTTATTTATAGCAGCCCATAGCGACACTCGCCACCCTCCGCCGTCTGTAGTCATCACCTGATAGGCGTTCTAGACCCGGAAGTAAGCACACGTTCCACCTTACACTGGGCATTACGTTTGTATTGCTGTGACTACATTTCCCATGAGTCCCCGGGGGAGAGGGACGGGCATATTGATGGAAGAAAAGAACAAGAGTGGTACCTCGGGCCTGAGCATCTGTGACCGGTGTACGAAGGTTCAGTCCCGGGGATTCTGCTGTACGGCTGCGAGGTAGATGGCATAAAGACGATACAAATAGCTCTGTAATGACCTGACATCTCTGAATGCATGGAAATTGTTAACGTGTGTGCAGTGTATATTAGTTGTTCTTGAACTAATTGAATGCAGAATGTTAACAACGTTGGGAAATATTATGGTGTGGGCTTGTCACATGACTATAGGTAATAATATGATATAGGGCTCTAGTACATGGCTGCCTGTGGTCATATGACGTAAATGCTGCAGTATTTCTGCCACAAGGGAGTCACAGGTGCTGCATACAGCCTCCCATTGTAGTCAGTGGTTGTTCGTGGGCTGGCATGCGTATGAGCGCACAACTCTGAATGATGACTACATTCGGGGGTTGTGCATCTGTACACATGCGCTTGCATACACAAGTCCGGGGTATATCCGCATACAGCCATTGACTTCTATTGGAGGCTGTACATAGGACCTGTGACTCCCTGGCAGCGGAAATACACCAGAATTTACTTTGTATGGCCACAAATGGCTGTGTGTAAGGGCCCAAAGTCAGGTTGAAAAAAATAAATAAGTCTTATCGAGTTCAAACAATAGAGACAAAGCAAAGAGCATAAATAGAAAACCTCAACAAACAGAATGCTATACCCACTTATGATCCTGAGGAATGGGGGAAAAAACCTGGCTCCAATTTACTTTTAGGGGGGGAAATCCTTCCTGATCCCATAGGGCAATCTGATATTCCCTGAATTAACAATCTCTGGTGTTATTAATTATACATTTTAATAGCCACGTATATTCTGTGCATTTAAAGTGGAATTCCAGCAGTGTTCATTTATTGATATTTGAATTTGGTCCATCTTGGCTCAATGTATGTATCCATATCTGATCTCTGAAGGGCCGCTGAGGATGCTGAATATCACTAGTGCTGTAGAAGGACTGTCCGTGCTACATACAGTATTTAATAGCTGTAATCATCCAGGAGCAGCTCCAGCAGATTCCCTTGTGCACATGCTCGCTCAGCACTACCGCCATTCAGAGAATGCCTTGCACTTTTTTTCAGTGAATTAATATAAGGCGTTCTCTGATTAGATAAGGGCTTATGACATCAGGATTTCCACCTCAGAAGAGAAACTTTGTAGCATGTTGCAAAATTTATGTCAGGCTGCTGCTGGCTGTTCCAGGATGCATTTGTGTAAGCTAGAAGTCATTCTCTTTGAGGCTTAAGGTGCGCATACACCTTGTCATTATTGTACCAAAAACAAACGCGATCGAGTTTTCATACGATAATCGGCCAGTTGATGGGGAAGTGGACGATCGCAAATTACTGTACAACTGCCGGAATTTGGTTGAATGAGCAGACTAGAAAACTTTTGTCGAAGCGGACGAAAATCGATAGATTAGTGGCACTTTCGTACAACAAAAATCTCAACATGAACACTGCAAATGCGCAAACGAAAATCTGTTCGATTGACGAAATTCGGCCAGTTAGTATTGCTAACAAACGATAATCGAAAGCTACATTGTTCTGTGCATGATGGGGTGTTCAAGTTTTCAAGTGAACAAAAGCCTGTGGACACTGGCCCTTAAAAAGGCTACGTTACTTGTATGGATGTCAGTATTTAATTTTCAAATTTTGACTGGAGCGCTCCCATAATACAAATTGAGCAAGTAGTATGTATGTGTTGAAAAACAAGTACCAGCATTGCTGTCCTCATCAGTTGACATGGCCGACTTAGCCTAAAGTCTAGTGTTTCCAGAATGTCCATATGGGCATTTTCATGCTTCCTAGGAATGTACTTGATCAGGTGTTTTTATATATCTCAGTGGGTCATCATGTAACTTTTTGGAAATACTAGTTTTTAGTTTTATTATATGTAAATGTTGTTTAAAATGTTAAATATGTCATTTTAATGAAATGTTGTTTTCAACTCTGACATGTAATTGTCTTTGTTTTCACTACAGCTCATTTGATCTTTAACTGAAGAGAAAGTAGAACAACGGATTATTTTTACATTTCAGTTACAGCCAAATACTAACAATTAACAGTGAAACTTTTAAAATAAATGACTTGAATGCAGGTTTATCTGCTGCTAGACAATTACATAAATATTTATGTATTTAATTATAGAACGTGGCTAACTATATCATCTGCAGATTTATAGCCAATTTCTGTTAGTGTCTGTTGAGTGTTTGCCATTGCCTGTTGAATCTAAAGGGGAATTTTGTACATTACACTTATTATTGGACTTGATGATGAAGGATATTTGTCGAATTTGTGGAAGGGAGCTTTGTGGAAATCAACGAAGATGGATTTTTCATACAGCTACCAAGCTAAATCTTCAGGTTCTATTAACTCATGTTTTGGGTAAGGAGATTTTACGTGACGGTCAAGCTGAGTTTGTCTGCAGTAAATGTGCATTCATGCTGGAACGGTTTTTCAGATTTGACACTGTGATTGCACGGATTGAAGCTCTCTCCATTGAGAAATTACAGAAACTAATTTCTGAGAAGGATAGGCTTAAACATTGTCTTACTAGTATCTATAGAAAGAACAACAATGAAGATGGTCAAGAGGCCAAATCTGTGCACAGCACAATCAAGACCTTAAACCGCGCCGATATCCAATGCTCATATTCTGCTCTTTTACAAGAAGACTTTGCATATTCTGGTTCTGAATACTGGACAGAATTGGAAGACTATGGCCAAGCAATACAGAATTGTTCCCATACTGTGGGTTCTGGAACTCTTCCACGAAAATGCCATTTTTGTTCCTCTTTAAGAGTAGCTGATGCTGACTATGAGGCAGTTTGTAAAGTACCAAGAAGGATTGTCCAGAATATTGCTTGTGGGAATTTTTCCATGGGCACTAGCACATTATCAGACTGCGAGGGTGCAAATGTCAACATATTAGACAGAGATGGATTGGATAGATTACCATCTGACCATTCGGTTGAATCTCCTACTGAAACCAAAGATCCAGCCTTCGGTATGCAAGAAGCTGAGGAAAAAATCAATCTAAGCATAGGAAATAAATTAGAAGTTGTGCTTAGTCTTGCTAAAATGTTATACTACAGACCTGTTCAGAGCCCAAGGGGAAGTAAAATACCTATAAAAAACAGTATGGCGTTGAAGTCAAACAACATTCTTAACACCTGTGACACCAGTATTTCAAACACAGTGACTGGTTTCCTGGATAGCACTATGGACTATTCTAAGGTGTCTGATGACTTCATGATAACTGATCTTTATGTCCTGTGGCAAAACATCTATGAAGACTATATTCCACTTCACTCCCAGGTATAGTGTAGGTTGTATAATATTTTTAGTATGGAATGCTGTGTTTTATTGTATACAACATTTGCGTCTTTTGAAAAGGTTTAGTCTGATTTTTAAAACTATTTATTTGGCAAAATGTTTTCTATTGCCCTGAGTGGTAATTATGTGATAAATGTCTACCTTAAAGGAGACGTATACTCAGGAAAATATAGGACTGACATTGTTGACCACATTTTAAATATGCTAGTGGATGTCCTGTCTCTGGTTTCAATCCATTCAGTGACCAAAAAAAAGTATATAACATATCAAGTCCAAGTGAAGTCAGAGCATCTGCATACTTGTTCCAGGTCAGTTACTTAGTATTAAAGCCATTGCATCAGCATGACAGCAACACATGGATGGCACCCTTTTGTGACAACTACACTATTAGCCTCACCTCAGCAGAAATTTTCCAGCTCGTGAGACTCTAAGCACCAGCAGACTGAGAAAGATCGTCACTGGGGTATGCTAACTGAGCAGTTAACTCTTTACACATACACAGTAGCATCCTCCAACATACCCCATTTCAATCCTGACCCTTACAAAATGTTTGTAACAAATACTGCCATGTCCAGACAGGAATGTAACAGAGTTTACACTATGGTAGCTCTTCACAGAGGCAATGGTCTTTAATTTCTCGATAGAGCACTCATAGATTTAGCTTAATGAGTAAGAAATAGTTTAATGAAAAGAAAGGAAAATGAGAGAGATGTCTCATGAAAGATACTTCACTAATATTATTCCTTTTACCCAAGCAGACAGGACAGCCCATAAAAATGCCCTGTATGCAGAAAATATGTAATAAGATGTGACACATATGATGTAATGCATGAAAAGCCTAATAAAGGGGTTTGTAGTTCTTTCAGTATATGGTTACTTGATGTATCTCAGCTGCGAATTGAAACTGCTTACAACACTGAGGTGGTGTCTTTAGGTAATTGGGAATGAATGATAAGGTAATTAATGAAATTGTTAAGGAAGTCCCTGGTAGCTGTATTACCTCATATAGCCCAGCAGGTACACCAGGTAGAGACCAACAGAAATAAATAATGTCCCGTCTGGAATTAGGACTACAAGTCCTTCCGAAGGTAAAGCAAAATCGCTCGCATACCCCTTTGAATAAGCTGTTGACACATACAACAGAAGTCTCTTTAAGCTACTTATTGAGTAGAGTCAATTAGCGTGTACTTGCTTTTAGTTGCATTAGTGGTGTTTTTTTTCCAAAATGGGGTCTGCTTCCAGCTTGCAAAGAAAAACATGGTCTTGCAAGATGAAAAGTGTAGTTAACTTTGATGAGCCTTCTAGGCCTTTTGGTGTTAGCAGACATTTTGGCATGACAGTTAAGCTGACAGCTGTATTAGCCTGGTCTTTGAAGAATGAATCCACAGTTGAGTTGGGGGTTAGGTCAAGACTCTGATGTAAGGATGTAGAACCAAAGTATTTAGAGTTCTCACTGGAATTCTCCAAAGTGAAGAGATGTTACAGTTTTGAAGTTGTCAGAAGTAGCGTTATTGTTGGTAGAAGTAGCCTGAGGTTGCAGCTGTTCCTCTGTGGGCAACTCTGTAGCATCTACTGAAGTCAGCAGTGGTTTAGAGTAGCTAGTCACACAGTCCATGAACTGAAGAACATCAGCATTGTTGTGCAGGATCTTAGTGTTAGTAGATTCCTGATCACCTGTTGAAGATTCAATCTTGCTGCTGTTAGCCGTTTGGAGTGTTGTCTTACTCAGAGTATGACAAGACAGTTCTCTAATGTAGCAATGACTTTGTTGTATTATGATTTTCTTGGAACATACTTCACCTGAAGCTTGAGATTTGCACTCATGGTGGACTCAGATGATTACCCAACCTAAATCTGTGTTTTGGGCATAAGGATCATCATTCCAACCATTGTGCTGTTTACATACCTTGTGTACTCTTAGGATGTCTCTGCCCAGCAGAAGCGTGATTTTGGCATTATTGTCAAGTGGTGGGATGCAGTTCGCTAAATTACTTAGGTGTGACTCAGAAAGTGCATCCTCTGGTGTAGGGATTTCTTCCTCATTATTAGGCAGTTGACTGCTCTTGATGAGTCTAGGAAGAGGAATCCTTTCAGTTCCTTCTATAGGAAAAATGATTAAATCAGAAATATAGGTTGTTCTTTCTGAAAGTTGCACTGAACCAGCCAAGTGTGCAGGGGATAGGATAGCACGTTTCCCTTTATGCCGAACAAGTCGAAGAACTATGAAGTTGCAAGTGAGTGACTGCTTTGGTCATCTAAGACAGCATACATCTTGACTGTTTTTTAGGTTGTCCTTGAGGAAACACCTTGACTAGACATATTTTTGCACGAGTTTCCCCCCAAAGTCCTTTGTGAAGTAATTCACTACATTTTGATGTGATAGTTGCAGGTGATTGTTCCTGGCTCTCCCCTCCATGATCTAACGCAGCTGGAGGACGATCTGCAGGAGAAGAGTTGTGCTCAAGTGGATGAAGTGCTTGAACATGAGTATCACTCCCACACTTTATGCAACTGATTATCGCTTTAAGTCCTTTGCCAGATGTTTTGTAGAAGCACAACACTTGAAATAAACCTTGAATTGTTTTAAGAGTTCTTTGCATTGCTCTAGGGTTTTTTTTATTTCGGAATCCAATGCATTTCCTGAGAGGATGTGGCTTCTTTTAAATTGGCAATTTGGATTTTCTATCTCCTCATTCTCACCAACTTTGTCAGAGTTTGTGTCAGAGTTAAGTAGCACATTTGTCCTTGAATCAGAGTTTGGTAGTACATTTGTCTTCTTCACAGATACAGGAATCTGAACATGTTTGCCCTTAGGAAAGGTTGGAGCTTGAATGTTAGACTCACTGGAGGGAATTTATCAAAATTGGAGCAGAAGAATCTGGAGCAGTTGTCTATGGCAACCAATCAGCTTCTCTGTTCAGTTTGTTCAGTTATGGTGTGAAAATGAAGGGTGCATGCTGATTGGTTGCCATGCACAGCTGCTCCAGATTTTGCCACGGTTTTGATACATTTCCTTCGCTGTATATGAAGCTTGGGTCATTTTTAGTCTCTGCCATGTTCCTGATGAATTCACAGAAATAGAAACAGATTGCGCTCCAATAGCTTCTTCCTCAGCTGCTGCAGCTGAGGAATGACAGCTGAGGGACCGGAAGTGATGCAGTCAGCATCGCCTTCAGCCCCATTCAGCAGGGAGGAGATCGGCGAACAGATGTTTGCCGGTCTCCTTCTCCTTTTTCTGCCGTCACCTGTGATGCTGGTGCCTGACCCGCTGGAGGGGTGTCGGGTGGGGGGTGGTGCACTACACTGGCCTCTGGAAGCAATCTGGCAGCAGTTCGGCCACCAGAATTGCTTCCAGTGTAAAGCCAACAGTCAACTTCACACATGTAAACAAAGTCTTGGTGGCTCTGTTTAAAGGAGCCCACTGCCAGCTACCTATAACATAGGTCAGTGGAAGCGAAAAGGTTAAAGCGTTTGCAATGGAAAATTTTGAATACCATCGTTTTTTTCACCATTTCACAGGCGTGTGCAATGTTATAGCTTGACAAGTTTGGTATCTATTTAACCCCTTCATGACTGAGCTTGTTTTTAGTTTCTGTTCGTAAATGACTGACACACTTTTGACATTTTTGCTGTGTGATTCTTCCACGTCAGTAATATACTTTCTTACAAAGTGCACCCACACATATTATATATTGTTTTTTAGAGGACAGATAGGGCTACATATTTATATCACATATGTG